CACAATGTGCAGCATGTATACAGGTGAAACTTGAAAAATCAGAATATCGTGCAAAAGTTCATTTATTTTAGTAATGCAACTTCAAAAGGTGAAACTAATATATGGGACTCATTACATGCAAAGCAAGATAGTTCAAGCCGTGATGTGTCGTCATTGTGATGATTATGGCTTACAGCTCATGAAAACCCCAAATCCACTATCTCAGAAAATTAGAATATTGTGAAAAGGTGCAATATTCTAGGCTCAAAGTGTCCCACTCTAATCAGCTAATTAAGCCATAACACCTGCAAAGGGTTCCTGAGCTTTTAAATGGTCTCTCAGTCTGGTTCAGTAGGAATCACAATCATGGGGAAGACTGCTGACCTGACAGTTGTGCATAATACCATCATTGACACCCTCTATGAGGAGGGAAAGCCTCAAAAGGTAATTGCAAAAGAAGTTGGATGTTCCCAAAGTGCTGTATCAAAGCACATTAATAGAAAGTTATGTGGAAGGGAAAAGTGTGTAGAGAAAAAAGTGCACAAGCAGCCAGGGATGACCGCAGCCTGGAGAGGATTGTCAGGAAAAGGCCATTCAAAAGTGTTGGGGACTTTCACAAGGAGTGGACTGAGGCTGGAGTCAGTGCATCAAGAGTCACCACACACAGATGGATCCTGGACATGGGCTTCAAATGTTGTATTCCTCTTGTCAAGCCGCTTCTGAACAACAAACAATGTCAGAAGCGTCTTACCTGGGCTAAAGAAAAACAGACCTGGTCTGTTGCTCAGTGGTCCAAAGTCCTCTTTTCTGATGAGAGCAACGTTTGCATCTCATTTGGAAACCAAGGACCCAGAGTATGGAGGAAGAATGGAGAGGCAAACACTGCAAGATGCTTGACGTCCAGTGTAAAGTTTCCACGGTCTGTGTTGATTTGGGGAGCCATGTCATCTACTGGTGTTGGTCCACTGTGCTTCATTAAGTCCAGGGTCAACGCAGCCGTCTACCAGGAGATTTTGGAGCAATTCATGCTTCCTTCCGCAGACAAGCTTTATGGGGATGCTGACTTCTTTTTCCAGCAGGACTTGGCACCTGGCCACACTGCCAAAAGCACCAAAACCTGGTTCAATGACCGTGGGATTACTGTGCTTGATTGGCCAGCAAACGTGCCTGACCTGAACCCCATAGAGAATCTATGGGGCATTGCCAAGAGAAAGATGAGAGACATGAGACCGAACAATGCAAAAGAGCTGAAGGCCGCTATTGAACCATCCTGGTCTTCCATAACACCTCAGCAGTGCCACAGGCTGATAGCTTCCATGCCACACCACATTGAGGCAGTGATTGCTGCAAAAGGGGCCCAAACCAAGTACTGAGTACATATGCATGCTTATACTTTTCAGAGGTCCGATTTTGTTCTATGTACAATCCTTGTTTTATTGATTGCATGTGATATTCTAATTTTCTGAGATTGTGGATTTGGGGTTTTCATGAGCTGTAAGCCATAATCATCACAATTATGACAAATCACGGCTTGAACTATCTCATATATTCGTTTCACCTTTTAAGTTGCATTACTGAAATAAATGAACTTTTGCACAATATTCTAATTTTTCGAGTTTCACCTGTATGTGGTATATCTGTGATGCCTACTTTTTAAAATGTCAAGTATGACGAGTGTCCTTTAGCACCTGTTAAACGACTTAAGTTGGCCAATCTCCTATGATCACTGTTTGGATGACAGTGTATGGTGAGTCATAGAACCAGGGGCAGGGCAAACCTCAAAAGCATGCAGATGATGAAGTTTTTTACATGTCTTTAGCAGTCACACGGTTAAAGTGAACATGTCAGGAAATATAGAGACTTCCATTACTGACTAATCCTTGTTATTTCTTCTTGGGAGTCACTGATCATTCAGTATTTCACCAAATAGTGAAAGGAGGAGGATGACAACCCTGCAAAACTTGTCAGTAACTGCAGTATCCATATTTAAATGCTTGGCTTCTCTTTTCCAGAAAATAGCCTATGTCGTCAATGGGCACCTGTAGATATTAAAAAGTTTGTAAAATGTTTATTGACTTTATTGTAATACCTGTAGATAATTTGGGACCTTCTGGAAGCATGATTAAAAGACTCAGTTGGCGATCTCCATGTGGTGCCTTGATGCTAGAAAGTGAAAATTGTTGGACACTCACTCCCAGCATTACAGGAGTGAAAACCATCATTGCAACAAGGTATGGAGATTGCGATCTGGGATTACTTCAAGGCTTCCTAAGGGCCCAAATAGCCTATAGGTATTAAAATAGGCAATTTTACAAAGCTGCATAGATTTTTAGCAACTGGGGCCTCTTGACTGCATAGGAAATTTTTCATGGAAAAGTTGAACTAAAGCTGACAATGGATAGAATTTCAAAAGAAAATTTAAAGGAAAATTATTACGAAAATTCTCAGAACATTTAAATGTCAGTTCAAAATTGGGTTTGCTTTTAACATTTAATTTAAGAATGAATGGACTTTATCGAACGAAAACCACATACACTTACAAATGCATTAATTCTAGAAAATTTTCCATCCTGCTTCCTGCAACAAATTCTCATCAATGCGATAGAAAACTAAGTACGTTTTGGCCCACTAATGATTAGAAAAACAAATTAACTTTCTTAGAACTCTCTTTTCCTGAGAATTTTCATTTGAAATTCTATCCATCTATGACCAGTTTTAGGCCTGTAGTCATAACCAGTTTCATTTAGGTAGAGTTTTAAGAACAACTTGGCCCCCCACTGTCCTCTCAGGAGAATAATAGCTTTGGGGTATATTTCTACTTTAATGTCATAGATCAGGGGTGTCCAACCTGAGGGCCAAGGGCCACATGCGGTCTAGAGTTTAGCAATGCAGCCTGGGCCATGCACAGCTGGAGGGATGCTGGGGCTGCCATGTTTGCAATAGCATCGGCAGCAGGCAATGCAGGGGTGCCAGGTAAGTAAATTCTTCATGGCCAGATCTAGAGAGGTGTTGGGGAGAGCCCCAATTCTGCCCCCTACCCCCCCCCCAACATTTTTCTGGTACCGCACAGCCAGTGATTACCTGCAGTGGTCATTGCTGGATGCACTTTGTTGGCATTCAGTAGCAACCACAGCAAGTAATCACTGGCTGCGGCCACCACTGACTTCTCATTGACCATGAATGGGCCTGGCAGCCGCCCCTACCCACTGAGAGCCACAGAAGTAACTGCTCATCCACCATTCTTATTAGTGTGTTTTAAGTGCAGCCCAAGACCATTTCTCTTTTTCCAATGTGGCCCAAGAAGGTCAAAAGATTGAACACCCTTGACATAGATGATGACCTTCCCGGCTAATAAATTGGCTTATTTTAGTAAACATTACAGTTGACTCATCTTAGCCACTTTTTTGTTTATTTAACTATGACACAATCCACTGACTCTGAAGATTAATACAAAAGAACAGTATGTTGGCAATTGGAAAGCCTAATACCTGCTGAGATTAGTAATTTACAAGCAGCATGGAAGCACACCTTGATTAATGGACAATGTGGAATCTTTTTATAAGCAATCCAAGGGGAAAATATTAGCGTATAGTTTGTACTTTCACTTTAGTACCATTTTTTCAGTATGATACTTACTGAAGGACACTTCTCCCCTCCGTAGTGACATGAAAGATTATGCTGATAGTATGGCAACTGGTTTTTCATTTAGAGAGGGCATGCATACGGTTTCATCTGAATTAGAGCTTAAAGTGGAACATGACCTTCATGTGTTTTAAAAAAACAAACACAACCTAAATAACAAACTCAACATACATATTAACGCTGCTGAGACTACGTAAGCCATACCAAAGAGTATCTAAATGTCCTCCTCAGTGCTGATTTTTACCTGTTGATCCTTGAAGTGGTTAGGGTAATCCAGGACTTCCCATGGAAAGCCGGTAAACATCTGGTGCTGCTCAATTTCAGCTCTTTGAGGATCTCTGTATTCACATGGACTTTAACTTAAAAAAAAAAGCAGTGTGAGCAGCAAGTTTTGACAAAGCATTTGCAGAGCTTTCAGCAAGCTTTTAAAGTATCATTCAACTCCAGTTTGTACATGTTGCTACCATGCTTCAGCAGACTTTCAACAAGCTTCAAGAAGTGCTTGCAGCTTGCTTAAAGTGGCAACCAGCCATTAGGATCTGTGTTCAACATTTGCAAAGTGGAGCTGATCGGTACTTTAAAAGCTTCAACAAAGCTTGCTGAAAGCTCTGCAAATGCTTTGTCAAAGCTTGCTGTTCACACTGCTCTTATACAAACTGAAGTGCATGTGAAACAGGCCTAACTTTGCCTCATCACCCTGCATCCATTACCTTAAACGTTTTGTTGCCTCAGAGATGTAGCTGAAGGTGATAGAATAGGCTAGTTCTCCCCACTTTCTGACCTCACATCAGTGGTACCCATCCACTGCCTGAAAAAGAAGAGGACCACTAAACGGTAAAACCTGTGCACACAGTTTATTTGGGTTGATTTCAAAGGCTATTGCTTCTCTAAAAGGGTTGTGTTTAAATGTTTGTTTCATTGCATATACTTGCCTCTACTTCAATCATTGAATATTGGACTATAAGCAAAAAATTAGATTTTAAGTTGAATAGGGTTATTGCTAATTTGTCTTGCAAGTCCCTTCATACCCTTTTCCTCTCAAAAGTGTGCCAATTTACAGACTTCCCCTGCACCTTTGTTTTGCGCCAATGCCAAAAGTGATTTTCTCTGATCACCATAGGAAAAGCCATAAAAAAAACTTTGCTTTTGCATAACCTTTTTCAGCAGTGTAAAAGAAAGAGCAGAGTTTGTTGTCATAATAATTAACTCCATGCTGTTCTAGCCAGTATTTTATTTCTCCTTTGTAATTTTGGATGACTATTAGGTTTTTGTAGGTTGTATATGCCATATTTATCTTTTATTTATCATTTATCCTTTTACGCTGCACAGTTATTTGTTGCTGTTATTTGTCTCTTGCTGAAATACTATGGTTGTTTTAGGTAATGAATATTCGAAAAGTGTTAAATCGACTCGATAAACCCCAAGGACTATACCCAAACTACCTAAACCCAAGCAGTGGACAGTGGGGACAACGTAAGTATACTAGATTGTTTCAGTTTTTACATTGTCACTTTTAGAACTTGTTCTTATCTTATGTGACTTTTAGGTCTCTTTCAGACAGGTGGTTTGAGAGGGGAGGGGATAAAAACAGGTGACTGTGCCAAAGTTTTACTATTCCCCCGCTTGCCCACCCAAACTGTAATATAACATTTGTAAACTCTGCACCCCAAGTTAAAAATGCTATGGTGTTACAAGGAAGACAAGACTTGTAGTTCATTCATTCACAAATCTCTGTGAATGCAGGACACAGTTATGTGGGCAGGAGCCCTCCACATCCATGCTAGTTTCAAAAACCTGCAGGGTAGAAGAACCCCGGCATGTTTTCAGTGGGGCGGAGGTGTGGGGCTTTGCTTAGTAACATGTTGGATTTTAATCAAGATACTCTGTACAGTGTAGATATTTTGGATTTTATATGACTTTAATTAAGAGCATGTAAAAACTACTTGAGCTAGTTTCTACCCACCAACTGTCTGGGTTGGCATAAGACTAGACCCACCAACTGTCTAGGTTGTAAGACTAGACCCCACTGGACTGGAAAATTGCAGGGTTGCCCGGAATGTGACTTTCAAGCACTAAGCATTGCATTGAGGCGCTTTCCAGACCATTGTGTGCTGTGTTGGTCACAGAGCATTCTCCAGGTCCACAGCCATGACTCAGCCTCTGGTGTCACCCAGTCCGTGAACACTCACATAGTGAGTAGCTGCTGGTTGTGGCAAGTCAAGCCAGGAGTTTGATCTTCAGGCACTAGGCTCTGCAATGTGTTAGTCTAGAAACCTTCTGTACTGTGTGTTAACTGCAGAGCTTTTTGACCCTCCTGTAACTGTGAGCCTGATTCGGAATCCCAGCAATCGGGAGGGACTGTTTTTGGTCATTGCGGTTTTCTTCAGTGGATATTATTTATATACATATACACACAGGGTTGTTTCAGATCTTATTGATACAGTGTGTATCACCCTGCATTTGAAAGACTGGCCTGCTTTTATAGGCTTTGGGTCTTTTAGAGCTCCTGTGGCTACAAAGACCTTGGAAACACCCTGAAAGGACTTGGGCTTGCCTAAGACTGTCAGAGCATTACCTCTTTGAGAAGGGATTCACTAATAGGTGATCTGCGCTAACCACTGGAAGGGTCAAGGTATACTTACCTTTGAGGAATTCACTGATAGCTGAATTCCCTCCTTTAAAACCCAGTTTGAGTTTAAAGGTTAAGTTCACCTTTTGTAATATGTTACATGTTACACCCATATTCGGGGTGTAACATGTTACAATTGTGCTGGCCCTCGCAGATTTATTTATTTATTACAGGTACTTATAAAGCGCCATCAATTTACACATTTCTTTGCATATATTGTACATTCAGTTCAGTCCCTAACCCTCCAGGGGCGTACAATCTAAGGTCCCTAACTCACATTCATACATATCCATACTAGAGCCAATTTAGACAGGATCCAGTTAACATACCAGCATGTCTTTGGAGTGTGCGAGGAAACCGGAGTACCTGGAGGAAGCCCTCGCAGGCACAGGGAGAACATGCAAACTCCAGGCAGGTTGTACTGTGGTTGGGATTCGAACCAATGGCCCTGGTACTGCCAGGCGGAAGTGCTAACCATTTAGCCACTGTACTGCCCATCCCCCCCAAACCCCCTCTCCACAACCATTGACTTACCAGTAGTACTAATGTATTATTATAAAGGGTTTATATAGCGCTAACAATTTGCGCAGCGCTTTACAATATAAAGAGGGACAGTACAATTACAGTACAACTCAATACAAAAGGTACAAAAGATAATTGCTGCAGGAGATGATCTGATGGAGAAGACTCTGGTACAGTTCTTATGTTGATGTGGGGTAGGCTTCCCTGGATCAGTGAGTTTTCTAAGATCACCTAAAGGAAATCTCTGTATATTTCATTTCTTAGAGTACCGTACAGGACATAGGCCATTCCCTCTTCAATTTCTTAGTGACTACCAATTGCTTACTGAAAAACCATTGACTCACGGAGTAGGGTGGGCTTATAAGGTAGGTATCTAGGAGGCTTGTCCTCAGAAGCTTTGGCAGTGTCCAACTATATGAAGGTACCAGCCTATAACCCAGGATCAATGAATACTTTTTCCTTTATTGTACTCCATGAAACAGAATTTACAGGCAAGTCGTTTTTTTTTTTTTTTTTTTGTTTTTTTTTAGTTTTAGATTAAATGCTAGAAAGAGGCAAAGTAGATGTGTTGTCAAATGCAACCAGTAAGAGTCCAGAATACATTTTCTAAACCAAGGGAGAAAAGTGAAAAGTTGTTAGCTTGCAGTGTACATCATCACTTTTTCCTTTTACCCAGCTTTTCTACAATACTTGTCCATGATCTCTTTATAAATTAGCTCAGTATGTATTTTTGCTAATGTTTTTGAGTATATGCTGTATTTTGGATATAAATGAGCTTGAGAGGCTGGGCAAATGGCAATTGTGAGAATAGACTTTAAATTCCCAGCTTGTAAATACTTCTTTTCTTGAATGATGTTCACACATAGTAACAAGGCCATCTGAATCTGTTAAGGCTGTATGTGCTCACAGATAATGAGTCACACAGAGCACAAGGCTCTATGGGGGGATAAAAAGTACAGAGCCCAAACAAAGCAAACTTCTGTGCTTTTCTTTACTCTTTTTGTCTCTCTCTAATATATATTCCTATTCATAATACTAATTGCTGCAGCAGAAATGCTTCTGTCTGCTGACCAAGTAACTAAGGTACAAATAAAGATCCTTTTTGGTGTGTTTTTTTTTTAACCAGCTGCATTGTGTGCAAGGTTGCCAAATCATGCTACTCATTTAACCTCTCTATATACAGTAGTTTGTATAACAAATGTATTTACACCTGTATGCATAACATGCATATGTTCTGCAAATCCACCTGATTTTCCAAATTGACAGGAACGGTTTCCATAGTGATTGTGAAGGTCATTCAAATGAAGCTTGACTTCTAAATTCTGTATACTAAATGTTAGTGCAATTAAGCATTATTCTACTACCTGAATGCTTCATTTTACTTCCAGCCATTCAAAGTTAGCCTTCCCACATATGTCTATACACAGCAGCTGACATGCACCACTGTGTAGGTGGATTAAAACACATTTTACATGTATCCTGGAGTGGGTATTATAAGTGAAAGGCAGGATCTGCATTCACAAGACTCCTTTACAGCTAATCCCAAATAGTGGGTGGATATATATTAAGAACCACACAGAAGGGAACATTCATTTTTAAATCTATTGGTTTGCAGAAATGTGACAAAATCTTAAATGAAAGCTGTACTGAAGAGTAGGAAAGCTGCCATTGCTGATTTCGCCTTTGGAAAATGGTAGTTGCCTGTCCCTGTCACCCTTAATCACTGGCTTGAGAACTTTGAGTAGCTGACTCCAAACAAATATGCAGATCACAATTTTTAAGAAACACATACAAACAAGGTATGCAGCGCTAAACAGAAGCTATAAAGAAAACCTTGTTCCCAATGGTTCTGTAGGGACAAAATGATGAAGCTAATAGCCTGTTCAAGTTCCCAGTATGGTAATTAAACCATGTAGATTTGTGTGAAAAAATGTTCATAACAGCAAGACATCAGCGTGCAATCCTGAAGATACCACCAAAATTATGCGCTTACCACAAGGGCATACAAACAGAGCATTGTATGTATATACTCTGGTGTGTCATCCATGGAAAGGGGAGCCTGGTTCACACTGCGGACAACATCCAGTCACTAGGATAAGCACTCAAGGGATGTCCGCACACGTTCTGGGGTCACATCCAGCTCACCGGTAGGCCCAACGGCGTCCAGCCTCGCGGTATGTGCTCCTCCTATCGCCAATGCCAAACACACAATAGAGCATAGATAAAGTTCCACAAGCCACAATATACTTTGGTACCCACGTCTGTCCTCTCTGAATCCTCACTTTACTTTTCACAATGTTTGACTGCCACCTGACTTTCAGGATTTATATGCTTGTCAGGCAGCTACCACTTTTAGGAGTTTAACAATGGTAGCCTCTGTGTTTCTGTGAATACAGTTTTTCTGCAATCTAGAAAACATTCCTACTGTATACTGCTAATCATGAAGAACCGTAATAATGATGCTGGGTTATGGTTATCTAAATTTATATTTACACCTTTTATTGTTAGCAGCATTTAAAAAAAGTTTAAGCTTAAAATAACGAACTTACAAATGGATGTGTGAGTTTTGAAGACGACATGAAGCAACTAATAATGTTCCAGAGAGACCAAATAGTGTTGATACGTCTGTCAAAAAATTTGGGAAAATTTATATATTATCAAAAAGAGTGCAATCTCAGAATGAGAGTGCATGCAAAGGTGCACTCCTAGATTCAGAATAGAACAGCCGTAGGAGGTTATTTTTCCCAAGGGACCACATGCGAAAGTTGGACTGTTATGGAGGGCCAAACCAATAAGCTGAACATAATTCTACCTAATAAATTCAGACTTGAGAAGTTCGTAAGTGTGTAAACATATAGAAAACAAATGCCTGTCGCTAGGAATAATAAGTGCAACCACTTCTAAATTTTGTGCACACTCATGATTGTTGGAAGCAGTAATGAAGAAATCGCTGTTGCTGAACTTCTGGCCACAATGTTTGAAAAGCTGGTAAAAGCATTGAGGGAGCTGACAGGCACTGGGGTTAATTAATTGATCTGCCATTCTGAGTGATGTGTGGCTGACAGGCTCAGAGATAACTGGCAGAGCTGCAAGCACTGGAAGGAAAGAGCCTGAGATCAGTACAGCTGGAATTTCTGCAGAAACTAGGGTGAATAACAGGTGCAAGGCTCCTGTGGTTCTCAGCGTGCAGGCTCAGATCTGGAGCCAACAGGAAGAACCTGGCCAGATATCAGAGCGGTGGGAGAGCACCAGAACTTCTCCTAATACTGTGTTTGCCTAGGAGTCGTCCTAACCTTCTCTCACCAGAACTGAGCCTCCTCCC